TCAAACGCTAGGATTTGCACTTTGCCTATATTTGCACTTTGCCAGCTATAACCCTTACATAACCCCTACATGGCCCAATGGGAGTCTGACAACAGCCAATAGAATACATGTTCTTGCAAAGGAACAGGAAACACAAATGCAAAGCCAAAGAAGGTATAACCCCCCCCCCTCAACTCCATATGGTCAGCTGCACCAGAAGCATGTGTTTTGTGATTCTATTCATCATTAAACCATCTTTCTAATCAGCCTCTGTTTCCAGTGTCTTTCTCCCAGCTTGGAACTGAACCAGAATATTTCTTCCCACAATATGATAGATTAATTTGTTGTATTTCATCAAATTGTTATCAGCAGCCACATAAATTTTCCTTATAATTTGTTCCCAAGAGATAAGACCTTTCAAGTATTCCATCAATACACCTATCATTGCTATAATTCAGGGGTGTCAAACTCAATTTCATTGAGGGTCACATCAGGGTTGTGGGGGGGGGGCAAGTGGGCATGGCCAGTTTGATGTCATTTGTGTTGGGGGCACCTGTAATGGCCTGAGCTCTTTGCCAGTGAAAACGGAGCTTGGGAGAGTGGCGCATGGCTCTCCTGAGCACTGTTTTTGCTGGCAGAGGCACCACGGGCCAGTCCTTTGCTGTTCTTAGGGCGGCCCCACGGACCAGATCCAAGCAACCCGCAGGCTGGATCCAGATCGCAGGCCTTGAGTTTGACACCCCTGCTATAATTGAATCCACCCACCTTGCTACTGACGGTCTTCTTTTTCCTAAAATTATAAGTTACAATATTTCTTTGCCTAATGTGTTTGTATATTATAGTTTGAGATTTGCTGTCCTAAAGGTGCTTTTTTATTTTCCTTTAAGATGTTTTGCTTCTAATCCAAGAAGATTCTTCAGTTCAAGTTCAGAACTGAAAAAGCTTCTGGGTAAGTGAAACATTTTCAAGGAAAACAAAGTCCAGTTGCCTTTTGAAAAAGCACTTTGGGGACAACCATGACCCGGATGACTAATAATCTCCATAGATGTTTAAAACTAGCTATTTACACATTGAGTGGGAACTTCTAAGAAGATAGAAGTCTTCTTGAACACCAAAGTTCAAAAGCATCAATATTCTCTTTTTGTTTCTTCAAACTCCAGGTGTGAAAAGGGGAACTGCAAATGGCATCAATACTTCCATGGGACTGGAAGCTATGTTTCTATGAACAATGGAGAGGATGCAGTGGTGCTCTGTGTTCTTTTCAAATGCATCCTCCATTGATCCCAACTCTGCAAGCCTACATTTGACACTGTCATAGAAACATAGCTTTCAATCCCATGGGAGTATTGATACTGTTGGATTAAGAGGCAATGAAGTGCCAAATTGTATCTATTATACATTGTGCTAAAAAAATTCTTCTGAAAGTTCTAGAGTGGAAATCAGAAACTCATAACTTCTGCCTTAGACCAGTCAGGTTTAAGCAATTATTGTGACAATCCAACCCAGAATGCTCTGTGCCTTGACTATAGAAATTCTGGTTCAATATGTTTTGCTACCCAAACTGAACGTCGATGCCAAGAAGCACGGTTGTGACTTTTAATCTGCACTGGACTTTAACCATACTATTGCTTACTAATTCTATTTTGTCTTGTTCTGTTACTGACCCTAAAATGCTAGACTGCTTTGAAAACACCAGCATAACACAATATTTCTTGTCCACAAGTAGCATGGGTTTGGTTACATATTTATTATATTCATTTGAAGTGGAAATAGAATTAAAAACCAAATTATGGTAAGTAGTAGCAATAGAATTATAAGGTTATTTAAAAACTATTCAGATACAAAAATTAACCTAGTAGCTCTAATTTTTCCTTTAATACCATTTTCCCTCTCCAAAATCCAATGATACAGCAAAATCTGAAAATTATTGTATTAAAGCCCAATGCACTTCTAATAATGTCACAAATTTCCTTTATACATTTATCCATACATTAACCAAGAGATCATCATACATCCTTTTCTTAATTCTTGCATACTGAAGAATTATTGCTAAGTACTCCATTTATTGTCTTGCATAGTTTACTTCTATTATATACTGCTTTTACCATGTTCAGTAACAAACTTCAAGTTTTTATTCATGCATATCATTCTATGTTCACTTTACAGAATTGGTAAAATTCACTTTTTTACAGAATTGGTAAAATCAAAATTGCCTACTTCTCTAAAAGTTTATTTATTTATTTATTTAATATGTTACACATTTTTCAAACATTTACACCAAATTTCCATTTTTGACAGTGCCTCAGAATCAGCTTCTTTCCTATTTACATAGTAATATTTTCATTTTCATTTTCAATTCCTAGTATATTTCTCTAATATTTTTACATTTATATTACCTTTTTATAATTCCTTATATATACATTTCCTGCAACTCTTAAGTAACTTTTATAAATATTCTTTACTTTTCTCCACTAGCCACTCATACCATATATCCCAAATTTTATAATATTCTGTTTCCTCCTTGTCTTTTAACTCCATCATTAATTTATCCATCTCTGCACAAAAGTTTTATTTAAATGGGTTGGTTCTACTGCATACTGGCTGTGGGAAGTACACCCCAAAGGGATAATGACAGAAACCTCAGAAAACAGTGCAAAAAAACTGAAGCCAGCCCTTCCCCCTTTAACAAAACCAAGAATCACCAACTGAAAGAAAAACTCAGAGCAGCTCTGCTAACAGAGCTGACAATAGAAACACTTAAGTAGAACCATTAGATAAGGAGAATCAGGCTAAAAATAACTCACCAAGGCAAAACCAGAACTCCCTTTTTCCTGCCCTCCTGATCCCAGGATAGAAAACTAATGGGTTAATCCTGGGACAGGATTAACCCGTTAAGGCAGGAAGATAGGATCCAGGACAATCACTTTAACCAGAAGCACACAAATACACCCATCAAGCTACAGGAGCTTCAAAGGGGAATTAAGCATAAAAGGCTCAGAGATACACACACACCAAATCTGCTTGCAAGCCAAAATGCTCCAGCTGTGTCATTTGCTTTCCTGAATTAAAGTATCCCTTTTCTGGCAGCTGGATTCCATATCTATTTCTTCTCAGCATCGGTGGGTGACTGCTTCCTAGCTGGGAAAGAAACAGGAAATTTCTTCCAACAATTATATACACAAATCATCCAAAACTGGGATTTATGACACAAGAAGACAGAGTCCAGGCTTCAATCAAACTTCATTCAGACAACCTAAAAAGTTAGCTATGACTCCTGGGAGTCTGACAACCATGTGGTCAGCTGCCCAGAACTTCAAACCCATGTGGTTCTGTCTATCAATAAACCATCTTTCCAATCAGCCTCCATGTTTCCAGTGTCTTTCTCCCCACTTAGAGCTGAACCAGATGGACATTTCTTTGAACACTCTCTAGGGAACAATTGTTTACTAAATTTAAGGAATATAATTCAATGTCAAAATAACTGTATCCTTTACAATCTAATGTACAATGAAAACTTATTTAAAAACATTTGATACTATAATTCTACACATGGAATTCTACATCTGAAATTTGAGTTTATATTTAAATTTGACATATATACTCTTAATGCATTATCCATAATTTGTTTTTGTTATTCTTACTGATTTTAATCATGTTAACCAAATGTTTTAAAAGTTCAACAGAAGCATGTTTTCAAGGAATCAGATATGAAATGTTTCATAAAAATGAATAGTGTATTTGAATAGTGTATTTGAATATATTACATTTATGATATTTTAGACTTATCCAATACTTGTTGGCTGTACACTTCTATTTTAATTGCTTAAACGATGATCGTTCTTATAATTACTATAATTTCTATTTTTCTATAGCCTTTTAAACATGAATTAGTCTTATACTTTTTTCTAAAACTGTAACATCTCTTTTCTAAACAATTTAATGGGGAAAAGTAGTAAGTTCCCAAATAGGATAGAGAAGCATAAAGGTTTCAGTGGATGAAAGTATGTGTGCTTCAAGCAGAATATCCTGAAATAGATAGGTGAGATTTCTCTCCATTGGGAAAAGCTGCCACCAGGGGTTGCCATTGTATTACATTTGAAATAAGGCAAGTTGGGGACAGTTTCCAAAGAGAAGTTAATAGTAAATAGTTCAAGGCCATTTCTGCCTTGTTTGACAGAAGAGGACGCTGTTTTGAATGGATTATGCTTCCATACACTTTTTCTTCAGGACTTCCATACATTATCTTCATATTAGTAAAGAACTTTACTGTAATACAATAAAATCACAGCTAAAGTTAGTGGATGAAGATATGAAAAACCATAAAATAGTATTAGTTATATTTGTCATTTTGTGTTATTTATAAAAATAATAAAGACAGGATATACATAAATAAAAATAAAACAATGACTATATTATTTCTTTCAAGAGCCACATATTCTCTTATATGCATTATTGTGCCCAAAACTAAATGAATAATAAACCTGCAGTTTTTTGTCCACTTGGCTATTACTAAAAAAATATCAATTTTGGGAGCATGCTTGTATTTAGTTTCCAAATGAAAATGTGATGATCAGGGTCATATTCTGTAGGAAAATGGTAGAATTTTGTTTTTTCAGTAAACCCAAGGCCAGCTTCATGTGTTTTCATGACATGTGACTTTATGCAGAGAAATATATCTATGCGAGTCAACTTGCAGTAGCACTCAATTGTTTTAAAATTCTTGATAGATTTTGAAAAAAAAAATAGATCCCAGGGTATCTATTTTCTAGCTTAGGTGAGTTTCGAGATGCAGTACAAGACTCATGATCTAATAAGACGAGTGATTACCGAAAGGAAAAATGTTGGTATTATCAGATCGAGAAAAAAAACAAACCACAATGCTTTTGTTAAACGAAACTGTTTAACACAGAGGGACCGCAGAGCGGGGTCCTGCCCAGTTTAATGTACACGAAGCAGGGAGGGGCGGCGGCGGCGGCGGCGGCGGCAGGCAGGCAGGCAGGCAGGATCAGGTTTCACATCCTGATCCTGTCTGGCTTGGGACCGAGAGCCTTCGCTCACCCTGAGGGGCGCAGGGAGAAAAGTCCGGGTAGTGCGGCCTGAGTGGAGATATGGCGGCGGAAAAGTGAGTGTAGTTTGGGGAAAGAGGCGAAAATTTCGACCCAAGGCATAAGGGGGGTTCCCTCTCGGTCTGCCTTTTACCTGTTGAGTTGGGTGGGGCGCAGGGCTGGGCTCCAGGCGCCGCCAAAGTATCTCGAGACGCCGACGCCGCCATTCCGCGCTCCTCTTTGCAGGCAGCGCGCGGCCGAAGAACCTCGGAGGGGTGAGGGAAGAGACCGAAACAACTTCGGGCGTTTCGTTTGCGGGGTCTAAAGTAGCAAACGGCTCAGAGTTTCCTAGGAGTTATTCGGCTTCGAGCTCAGTCGAGGCAAAAGACAGTACGCGAGATGGCGGTGGACGAGAAAGTTTACGGTGAAGAAGTGGGTTAGGGGCTTAGCTGTACGAGCTGAAGTGTAGTTTACTTCACCCCTTGCCTTTTCTAATTGTCTAATGCTCGCGTGTTTGTTTTAGGAGAAAGATATACTTTGGCCGTCTTTAAAATAAGTGGCGTTTGGAGAATATAGCTTTGTGGAACAACAATGTAAATTTTCTCTTTGGCCTCAATAAATAAGGCTGGATAGATAGGTATAGATATGTGTCCTTCTTAACCGCAATATATATAATAACCCTTTGACATGTGTATTTTACAATCAGTGGGTTATGACAAAGTTTATTGTGAATTGGGTTAATATAGTTTGTTCAAACCATCTGCACTTTGTCAGAGTTATCAATAGTATTTCTGCTCCTGGTAATAGAGATAAAATTCTTCCTTCTTCAATATTAAAGAAGGGTTACTTCTTGTCATTACTAATTAATCCTTTTGATTGTGAGTTTGATAACTAGAGGATATTGACTACATATTTTTAAATGTCACTTCTATTAATATTTACATAGGCATTGATGTGGTTTAGAAATACTGTAATGTTCTTTTTGCAGTTCATTTCTGATTTACAGTACATAATAGGAAGAATCTTTTCTTCATGATTTGTTTTTGATTAATGCCAGGAATATTTTAGAATATATGTATAATATCTTCATAGATTTCTTTGGAGCACAGTTTGTATTTAATAACAGTAAAATGGATGATCATTAGTGACCTTTTCATAGCAGACAAAAAGAATTTCTAGTTTCTAGTTGAATTTTGGCCTAGTGCATATTCCATCCCGTTACTAAGGGCAAAACCAGGATATTTCTTTGTGCTTTGATTTGGCTCTCACATTTCAGGAAACATGAAAAACGTGTGTGTGGGGGGAAACCTAACTGGAGGGGTGCAGCATTAACTATTCAGATTAGGGACTGTCAGGTCCTGAGATGATTTCAAGTCCATGGTATAAAATATAAATCGCTTTGGCAGCCAAAAAGGACAGATAATTTGAGATTTTTCATATATTGAACTCCTAAATTTGTAAGTTCATTATTTTGAAACTATATTCTTTATTTTTTCCAAAATATGCTTACATTCTGTTATATTTGTGAAACTAGGCAAATCATAGAATCATAGGATTGCAAAGAACCTTGGAGGTCTTCTAGTCCAACCCCTTGTGCAAGGCATTCTGGCCAGGGTCACCTAATGGTGTATACCTCCCTGCGCACAATGTTGTAGTTATAACCTACTGCTAAGTACAGCACTAATGTCTGTAACGCTTTAACAGATTATCAAGTTTGGCATTGTACAGCTAAGACTGGTAACCTTATCTAACCTGTCCATCTTATTCAAAAGGTTTATGGAGAAATGATTGATTTAACAAATCATGAGCAGCAAAGCTCAGTACTTATGAACCCATGCCTTATGAAAGATTGTGAACTGGATTATGAGTGTTATAAATGGTAAAGCATAAAGCCTAAGGAACATGAGACATTATTGATACAGATAATCGAGAAAGCCAAAGAATGCCGAAAATAAGTATGTGCTTCATTGGTTATATAAAGGCCTTTAGTTGTGGAAGGTTCTCAGAAAAATAAAAATTCCAGAATATTTCATTGTCCTTATAACAAACTTCTATAGAGACCTGGAAGCCATAGAATAGACAGAACATGGTGAAATGGAGTGGCTCCAGGTTGGCAAAGTTGTGATGTTAAGGCTGCATACTTTCACTTTATTTATTCATCCTAAATGTTGAATATATAATAAGGGAAACTGGATTGGAAAAAGATGAGCATGGTTTTAAAAATAGAGGAAGAAACATCAATAATCTGAGCTATGCTGATAACTGAAAAGGCAAGGTATCTGCAAGGCCTAGTACTAAAAGACAAAGTGCATGGTGAAAAACTTGGAAGAAGACCAAATATAAAGAAAGCCAAAGTAATTGGTTACAGTGGCGATTAATGCATCATTGGGAGACTTGAAACAACAGGTTAGGGATATATTGTTATGGAAAAAATCTGTATGGTCACTAAGAGTTGAAAATGACTTAATTGCACATAATCTTATCTATCTGTATAAATATATAAGCATGAAACAAAAGGAGAAGGATGTAAATTGATCTGAAGGTAATCTGATCTTGTAGAATACAGTTGATAAATATGTGGAGTGAAATTAAAGTTCAGTTATGAACATCAGAAAGTATGAATTGGTTTCATCTAACTATGAAAGTAAGAGCCCATAGTTTAGTGATAGAGTAGAATAAACTGGACTGGACTAGACTAGACAAGACCAGAATAGAATTAAATTCTTTATTGACCAAGTATGATTAGGCACACAAGGAATTTGTCTCTGGTGCACAAGCTCAAGGTGTACATATAAACAGAAAGTAATAGGTCATTGATCATAAATCATAGTTACAATAATTAATCATAAGTTACAACAATTGATAAATTAATAGGAGAAGACAGTAGGAAAGATGAGAAGATGAAAAAAACATGAGAAATGAAATAGTGCTGTGGGAATCAAATGTTCAGTAAAGTGATGGCACAGGGGAAAAACTATCTTTGTATCTAGTTGTGGCATACAATGCTCTATAGCAGCATCCTGAGAGGAGAAGGTGAAATAGATGTGAAGGGGTCTGTAGATATTTTCTCAGCCCTATTTCTGGTTCGTGCAGTATACAGATCTTCAATGGAAGGCAGGCTGATTGTGTTTCTTTTTTCTGCAGTCCTAGCTATCCACTGAAGTCTGTAACTGTCCTGTTTGGTTGCTGTGCCAAACCAGACAGTAATTGAGGTACAAATGACAGATTCAGTAATCCCTCTGTAGAAGTGTATCAGCAGATCCTTGGGCAATCTGAGCTATCTTGAGTTGACGCAGGAAGAACATTCTTCATTGTGCCTTTTTAATGATGGTTCTAGTGTTAGTTGTTCATTTCAAGTCCTTAGAGATAATAGAACCTGAACCCTGAAGGTCTCTACTCTTTATACTCTGTTGCCTAATATTGTAAGAGGTGATAGAATAGGAGAGTGTCTTCTAAAATCTACTATCATCTCTACAATTTTAAGAGTGTTCAGCACCAGATTGTTCCGGTTTCACCACAGACCCTATTTTTCTACTCCCCTCTGTATGCAGACTCATCATCTTAAATGAGACCAATGACTGTTGTGTCATCTGCAAACTTCAATACTTTAACAGAGGGATCTTTTAAGATGAGTCATTGGTATATAGAAAGAAGATAGTAATGGAGCTTCACCTGCTGCTTTCAGGCAAAGCTAGGTAAATCACTTTAGAGAGGAGGATTTCAGGAATGATGGTGTTGAATGCCGAGCTGAAGTCTACAAAAAGGACCCCTACATAGTTGTTTGGGGATTCAAGATGTTGTAAGATGTAGTGCAGTGCCATATCAACAGCATCATCTGCCTATCTATTTGCACAGTAGGCAAATTGCAAGAGCAGGTCAGCAGATCAGCCAACACAGACATTTAGCAGGTTTTATAATTATGGATGCCAGAGCCATAGGTCTGTACTCATTCAACTCTTTGATGGAGGTCTTCTTGGGCACCATGATGATAGTAGAGCATTAAAGCAAGAAGGAACAACACATCTTCAGTGATTTATTAAAGATGGGGGTGAAGATGGAGGCCAGTTGGTCAGCACAGATTTTCAAGCAAGAGGGAATTGCCCTGTTTGTCCTGCTACTTTTCTACCTTTTTGTCTGTGAAATAGACCTCACACATCTTTTCCTGTGATCACTGGAGGTGGAAGGCCGAGTGGGATGGAGTCTGGTGTAGGAGACTTAGTTGCTGTTGGTGTAGCTGTTATATTCCAGTATATGGTGAAAAACGAAAAATTAGAAGTACATTTTGGAGGAAATTGTGCAACATTCAGAAAGAATGCTACCCAGGAAGAAAAATTACTCCACTAGTTGCCATAAATGAATGGGTATAGGAACAAATGAAAAAGTTTAGGAAAAGCAAATGAGACATTTGCAAACCATAGCATGAATGAGAATGGTACCTGTTTTGTGAATTTTGTCCTTACAAAAATCTGTCTGTTATTAATACAAATGCAATAGTAATATAATAATGATAAATGAACAAGTATAAACAATATTTTAAGATTTTCATCTATTTCCTCCACAGAAATGTCATGTCTTTATATCAGTGGTCACCAACTTGTGGGCCAGGGACTACTGGTGCCCGGTGAGAAAATTTTGGTTGTCCGTGGAGAAATGTCACCCCCAAAGCACCCCCCAAAACAATTAATCCAGGCTGTGTGGGAATACAAGGCTTGCATTGCAAACAACATGAAGTAGTGAGGGGAGGGGGGAAAGGGCGGAGGGGGGAAACTTGCCCCACTCGCCTCACGCGTCTCGCCTGGCCACCGGGCTGCTTCTTTCTTCTTCTGTTTTTGGCTGCATGCAAGGAAAGCAGCAAAAGTCTTTGCCAAACTCTGCCAGAAATGAGTCTTTGGGACCCTGCAAGGCATCCTGCTCCAAGAGGTTGCACCAGCACGACAAGTCTCACAAAGACTCATGTCTGGGGAGTTTGGAGGAGAGAAAGACTTCTGCTGCTTTCCTTGAATGAAGTCAAAAGTCTCTCTCCCCCCCACCCCCCACCCCGAGAACAGAGCTGGAGACGGTATCCTGCAATCCCAAATAAAGAATGATTGATCGGTAGGAAAATGGGATGGGGAATTTTCCTGCAGACTTTTTTGGGGGATTTTCCCAGGGTCTCTGGTCTGCGGAATTTAAAATTATGAGTTTGGTGGTCCCTGAAGTCCAAAAGGTTGGCGACCCCTGCTTTATATAAATTAGAATAATTCTGTTGAAATGCTTGTTGCGTAGCCAGATTGTCTTTTTAATACAGTATCTCCCTCTTAAATTTTCATTATCATTTTCTTTTTTTATAATTTATACACCAGCCATTTACTTGGTTTGTTTTACATATTCAAAGGTTCTTTTACTTTACATGGTTCATTTTTATTTTTATTTCTTATTGTTAATATAGATAGTTGTTGCTATAAAATTTGTTCAGAGATATCTATCTACTCTGAAAATTTTTAAATAATTTTTTTCTTTTTATTTCATCCTAAATATTTTGTTTTTTTTCTTGCCTTTCTCTTAAAATTCAGTACTATGTTGTATATAATAACTCCTAATGAAAGCTTGCATCCCCAAAAGTTCTCAATTTACTATCTTTATTTAAATTAATTTTTTAAACAAAACTTTTACTTTTTTTACAAACCTCCATGATTGCTTCTTTTTCTAACAACATTTCATTTAATCTCCATCTACAAAAATTAGGTTTTCTTTCATAAACTGAATTTATAAGATTATGATTTGAAAATGTCTTGGGTTAGTATCTCTACTTTAGAAATCTTAGTAGCAAAGTCCTTTGAAATCTAAATTGTTATCTATTCTTGAGAAGGATCTATGATGTCTTTCTGAAAAATACACTACTGAACTGCCATTTTTTGTCATATATATCAATCAACTCTAAATTGTCCACCAAATTAAAAAAAAAATCTGATAATTTACCTTGAGTAATTTTAGTTGGGAAAAGATCCCCCTCTTCCAATCACCCATCATCAATTTGCATAAGAAAAACCTATTAGCCTCTCTATAAGTCATTTGTACAACACTACTTTATCTTTGTTTGGGGCATAAATTCCCAATGCTATCTATTGTCTTGGTCCAATGTAGTCTTAGTCCAATGTAAATTAACTTCCACCATAACAAATCTAAGCATGCTCATCAATCAGTACAAGTTCTGGTTTGGTTGAGATTTAATATTCAAAACAATTCCATTCCCTCTTCACTCAATTTTTTATTAATCAAATAATTTGTATCCTTTTTTTCTAATATGAGTTTCTTGTAAGCAAATTATTTCTTGTTTTGTTTCAAATATTTTTCTTTTGAGGAACATATGTTTCATTTATACTTTATGTTAAATATTTTAATCCATAAAGTCAAAACTTTAGAAAAATCAACCTAGTATTATCTCTTTCAAATTCATGTTGCATCTGACACCTCCATTTGAATTTCCTGTAATTTTCCCTTTTCCTTATTTATTTCTTGTTCTGCCCAATCTAAAATTTATTCTATAACTTTATTGATTTCTGCTTCAGTGTCCTCTTTCTAATCCAAATAAATTTGTATGGCTTTAGTAATCCTTTCTATAATATCTTCTCTGAATTTTCAGGGATTGTTCTAAGTTTCAAGCAAAATGTCTTCTGTCTCAGTTCTAATGGAGCAAAGTCTTTGTAACTTTCTGTCTATAATAGTGTCTTGTTCTCTGAAATTTCCATTTTGTCAGTAATCTGTTATACTTCTCTAGACATTTGTTTTACAGAGTTTTCATCTCCACAATTTCAACAAGTGATTTAACATTACTCAAGTGCTCAAATACATTCTAAAGTAATTCTGATGTCATTTATTTCTCTGCAGAGAGCTCTAACGATCTCCCCTTCTCCTTTTCATTATTGTTACTTTTCTAATAGTTGCTACTGTGATCCAAAAGTAAAAGTGAGTCAAA